AAAAGATTGAGCGAAGTTGCGCGAACGCATACTCCGAGATAATTTGGGATCATGATTATGTTACGCGAACGTATACACAACCACAATCGTATTGTAAACGTGCCTAAAGCCACTACGTGTTTGCAATTTTGCGAGGGCCATAAAAATTCGCTAAATGGCACGCCTCGATTTCTAAGTATTGATACGAGGTTAACTAAATGAGGACCACGCAATTGAGATTTTACTCGGCTGGCACGCCTCAAGCTTTCCATAAAACTAGCAATTTGAACTAATATGCAGAGAAGGTCATTGAGATACCACAACAATTGAACTTAAGTTAATATACATAAACTTGGTTCCTACAAATCTCACTGCCAACAATCAGATAGACAATCAGATGGAAAAAACGGCATGTTAACACAGAAAATGACTTCAGCCATTTTATCCCATTGTAAGTGCAGCCCCTATTGCGTTTCAAAGCCATAGCCACTTAACTTTTTTTTTTAAAAAAAAAAACTGTTAGTTCTTATGGCTAAGTGAGGAAATAGTAATGCCAACACTATAATCTCACTCGTTAACAAACGAACATCAATTTTTGGTCACGATTATCCACAGATTCAATCAACAACTCATAGAATCCAATTCTTGAAAGCAACAAGCAGTATATTTCTATATCAATTCCAAGCCTCCGCCCCACTGATTCACTCATATTCACGGTAAGAGTCACTTGATTCCAAAACGATCCTACTGTGGGAATATATAAGGACACCAAATGAAAGCACAAGTAGATTTATATATTATCTAAATCAAAATCAGCTAGCTAACTCAATCCCACTGATTTTTGAACCATCATAGAAACAACCCAATTCTATAACTTCATAAGCAGTAAAATACAAGTGAACAGATCAAACATATGCACTGTTTTCAAATCAGACATTCGCACAAGTTGAAAACACGGACAAAAAAAAAACAAAGCTGGAACAACTGACCAGATAGGAATTATACCAACGACCTCGACGGAGAATACTAAAGAACAATTCCAGAATTCAATTGGCACTTAAACTCGACCACACAACTGGAAAGATCAAATATGCTTCAAGTACATGCCTGCTTAAAATTATCTTTCGTTTTGTACATGAAAACTGGTATGAATCAGTGCAAGAACATGACAGGGAGGATCAAAACACTAGTTCAAAATTTCAAATAACAACAACTCGATGAACTTCCTAGTTTTAGACGGATTTGATGCTCAAAAATAGCTGAATTCCATCAGATCTGACATGTTCATGGAATTAGCACTCAAACATTATTCACAACCCAATAGAGGGCAGTAGAAAATCAGCAGATGCACCTAACAAGAGCAGGACAACAATAGAAAACCAAACGACGGAATATCAACAGAAGAACTAGCGAATCAACAGGGCAATAACAAGAAAAATAACAGCTGCAGCATTTCTACAACAGTCCTACGGACCAAGACGAGGTGGACAAACCACGCGAATGCGAAGCTAACCAAACATGACGAGAATGAACCAAACCTTAATAAGCTACTGCTGAAATTTAAATCAATTCTACTTGGATAGCTGAAATTTAGACTAGCTACTGCTTTAGAACAAACATTGAATCGCTTATCTTCGAGCATTTGTAGCAGGTCTTGGTAAATACCACTGACTAGGCAACATCAGATTACAATTCAAATTAGCAAGGAAAGAGCTGATTGTACTAAGCAATGCAACAAGTCAAGCAGACATCCGGCCTCGAACAGGCAGTCTCCTTTCCTTAATACAACCATTCAAACATACATTTAAAATTAACCCGAGATCTTGACTCAACTGAAACCTCGACTCCATGATAGCAGTTAAGGCCTAAGCATAGAGGATGATTCTTCAAACTCAGCTTTCACTGATTGAACATACTCCACTAATCACACCACTGCGAAGAGATTCGCCAGCAATAAATTCGATTATAGCACAGAACAGACTACTACAAACTGAACTCATAGCTCAGAAGCACTGGAACAAAACAAAGTCATATAGAATAAAAGAGAGGAAAATTGAACCTGAAGTTGTAAATTCCCTTTATAACAATTTGAAACTCGATAATACAACTATCAACTCCAAGTCTTAGCGAGGTTCGGCAGCGACTCAGCAGAACAACAGTAGAGGCGGAGCTTCGAACATCAATCTGTGTCTTCCATGAACTCGAATCCAGATTTCAAAACTAAAAATGCTTATAGGTTTTTTTTTTAAAACCCTTTTTAAGAACTCAACCAAAAGAGAGGAACAAATCCAGAGTCCTTTCCCCTTTTTCTCTTCCTTTCCCCCAACCCCCTTAGTTTTTAGAAAATCCGTTCAAAAGCATTCCCCGAAAAAAATCCAGAATTCCTCTAGTTATCAGGCTCACACCTGATGAATGAAAGCCTGGGATTAACCGAAATCAATCCCACGCTCCTCATTCATCCAGCATATGCCTTCTAGAGGCTTCCATCAAGTGAGAGGGGAATGGGGACGAAAGAATCTGTCAGACAGTTATAAACATGGTGGCGAGGAGAGAGAGGAACGCGTGGGTAATTTTGATCTCACTCGCCTGGAATTTTGCGAGCTTGGGACGCAAACGAGGTGAGAACGACGATGAACAGCGCGTCTGTTAGGGATTTTGGTTTCGTATTGACTGTTCGTATATTTGGGTGTGTGGGGCTTTGGGAATGACTTGGGCCGGGTTTAGGGATGAAGGGTGTTGGCCGGGTGGGTTAATGAGAGGGGAAGGTTGGGCTCAAGTAAATTTGGCCCAAATGCTTTTAATTTCTGATTTCTCTTTACTTTTCTTAAATTTCAATTGTTTTCTTTTCTCTTTTCTTCTTCTCCAATTAATATTAATACCCAAATTAATTCTTAAGCTAAATTAACTTACAAGATTAGATTGATCACTCAACAAGATATTTTCAACAGTTAATTAAACCCTAGATTAAAGAAAAGTTATAAAAAGTGAAATTAAAAAGTTAAAGACGCAAAAAGAATTATTTTATTATTATTTTTTTTTAAATTTTTTCTATTTTTTGTAAAATAGCTTACTTACTAATTAACCTAAAAGAAATGTAAAATTAAGTACTATATGAAAATTCATGGTATATTTTTTGTGTTTTTCATGATTTAAGTAAAAAAAATCAAAAATGCCCAGACAAATGCAAATAATTAACGCAAAAATGCTACGAAAATCCACAAAATTGCAAATAGTGAAAATAAATTATTTTGTTTTGAATTTATGGGAGTAATTCATATATGGGGCAAAAATTACGTGCTCACAGGCCCGATTCTTGGAGAGATTACTCTCAAAATGGCCCGATTCCTGGAGAGATTACTCTCAAAATGGCTCGATTCTTGGAGAGATTACTCTCATAATGGCCCGATTCTTGGAGAGATTACTCTCAAAATGGCTCGATTCTTGGAGAGATTACTCTCAAAATGGCCCGATTCTTGGAGAGATTACTCTCAAAATGGCCCGATTCTTGGAGAGATTACTCTCAAAATGGCCCGATTCTTGGAGAGATTACTCTCAAAATGGCTCGACTACCGGAGAGGCCAACTTAAGGTGCAAAGGGACTCATATGTCCACCTTAAGATTGGAAAGTTATAGTTCCTTTTAAGGACAAACCCACGAAGAGGCCAACTTAAGGTGCAAAGGGACTTATATGTCCACCTTAAGATTGGAAAGTTATAAAGCTTCAACTTGAAGGCGACATCGACTTGAACACTTGGAAAACTTTGAAGATTTGGCAGACTTTGCAGACTTCAACTCGAAGATTCAGAGGGCTTAAACAATTCAACTTTAAGAATGGCGAATTTGAAGACTGAAACTTGAAGACCGACGAACTTGAAGACTACAACTAGGGGGCTTAAATATTTCAACTTTAAGATCGGCGAATTTGAAGACTTCAACTTAAAGACCGACGGACTTGAAGACTTCAACTTGGGGGCTTAAATATTTCAACTTTAAGACCGGCGAATTTGAAGACTTCAACTTGAAGACTTCAACTTTGAGACTTGGAGGGCCTAAATATTTCAACTTGAAGATCGGCGAATTTGAAGACTTCAACTTGAAGACTGACGGAGTTGAAGATTTCAACTTGAGGACTTCAACTTGAGTACCGACGAACTTGAAGATATCAATTTACCATGGAGGGTTGCCCCTTTTAAATCAAATGAGATCAAAGTTTCACAAGAGGATGACATTTCAGCTTGATTTTGCATTCCTCCATACTTTACTCGGACAACAATTGGGGCAATGTGTATCTTTTGAACTTATGCGACTGAACTTAGAATGAAACTCTAAGCTGCCTACGTACCTCGGTGAAGAGGATCAAGTCATACCGTAGTTCAGACTGAGTAGAATTCTTTTTTTCTTTTTTTCTTTTTTTTTACGTCCTAACTTTTGCCTAGGCCGCCTCTTTCGAGATTTTTAACCTAGCGGACATATTTTTTTTTTACGTCCTAACTTTTGCCTAGGCCGCCTCTTTCAAGATTTTCAACCTAGCGGACCCTTTTTTTTTTGGGCCGTACACAGTTTATACTCTTGCGGGCCAGGAGTGTAGCAACATGCAGTTTGGGATCGTACGTCGAGGAGCTTCATGACTTGCAGTTTAGGCTCGTACGTCGAGGAGCGTCATGACTTGCAACTTCATGGATAATACTTCTTCAAAAACTTGCCGTTGATAGGGCCGATTCTCATACCATCTGCATCAACCAGCTTGTAAGCCCCACTTGAATAAGCTTCTTGTACGACATATGGCCCATCCCATTTTGAAGTGAACTTCCCTACAAGTTTATGGGAAGTAATTATGGGTCTTCGTACGGCAAGGACTTAATCTCCTACTTGAAAGGATCTCGGACGAACTCTTTTATTGAAGGCGCGAGACAATCGAGCTTGATAACATTCAAGACTCTGTTGAGCTTCCAATCTCTTTTCATTAAGAGCTTCCAACTCTGCTAATCGAAGTCGAGCATTTTCTTCATCAGTGATCCCTTCTTGAATAGCCAGTCGTAACGAAGGTATTTGACGCTCAAGTGGCAAGACGGCTTCGACTCCATAAACGAGTGAATAAGGAGTCGCCTGTGTTGGCGTGCGGTGAGTCGTCCTATATGCCCATAGAGCTTCTTCCATGCGGTCATTCCAATCTCGTTTGGATTTGGAGACGACTTTCTTTAGCAAGTTGCATAGAGTCTTGTTGAATGCCTCAGCTAGACCATTGGCGGCAGCATTATACATCGAAGAGTTACGTTGCTTGAAGCCAAAGAGATCACAAATCTTGTTCATCAGCCTATTGTCGAATGGCTTCCCATTATCCGTTATTATGTACGAGGAATGCCAAATCGATAAATAATGTTTACTCGGATGAAACTTGTGACATTTTCCTTCTTTACTCCTTTAAGAGCAACACCTTTAGCCCATTTTGAGAAGTAGTCAGTTGCGGCCAATATGTATAGGTGCCCACCAGAGGACTTTGGCAGTGGTCCAACAACATCCAATCCCCAAGCGTCAAATGGCCAGGATGCAACAGTCGGGTGCAACACTTCAGGAGGTTGATGAATAAAATTTGCATGGAATTGACAAGCCTTGCATCTTCGAGCGTAGTCCAAGCAATCTTTTACCATCGTTGGCCAATAATATCCCATCCTTTTTATATGGAAGTGGATCTTTGTCCAGACTGGTGTGACCCACATACCCCAGAATGTGCCTCTTGCAAAGCTTAGAGAGCTTCTTCTTTTCCTAGGCATCGCAAGAGTACTCCCTCGAACGACCTTCTGTATAGAGTATCCTTGTAGTAAAGGAAGCGAGGTGCACGACGACGGATTTCAGTCCTTCTCCTCGGATTTTCTGGAAGTATCCCATAGCATAAGTAGTTGATAATGGGTTGTCGCCATTCTTCTTTCTCAACTTCAGAAACAACAACAAGATGCTTGAGTTCGTTTTCTTCACCTTCAGCTTCATTTGGCGGCAGTACTACTCATTTTTGGCAGACGGTAACTTGCGCTTGGTCAGGCAGGGCTAATGATGAAGCTAGAGCAGCTAAAGCATCAGCCTTCTTATTTTCTTTCCTTGGCACATGCTGAATGGTCACATCACTGAGCCCACCCCATCAAC